TTTGGAAGAGTCTCCTTCTATAAGAACATCAGGAATCTGGCTCTCTGGTGTCCTTCCTCTCCTTCAGAGAGTCAGCAGGTTATTAGGACCCACTTCTGTTTCATGAATTCTCAACCTTTTCAGAACTAAAAACTAGTGTAAGGTTGTATGTTTCTTTTCTTTGATATTGTTCTGTAATATAATTTTACATTGTCATTAAGCAAGTAAATGCAGTGATTGGCTTTTTCTGTCTAGGTGGGTCTTCTCTACAAATGTTTGTAGTGTTTTCCATTCTTTCAGGATTTTCTTTATTTTAAAAGAACTTCGCTGCACTGATTGTTAATACCTCCCACTTCACAAAGCTTCTCTGCTGCCATTCTGTATTGCTCAGCCAGAAGCTGCTATGTTCCTTTGTAGATATTTCCTTTAATATTCCTCCTCCAGTTGCTCAACATCACCACTGTCTACCTGTAAGCCTGTGGACTCTGCTATAGTGACAGTGTCATCAACCACAGGGTCAGTTGAAGGCTGAGGCTCCTCTACATAGTCTACAAAGTCTCTCCTATATAATTTTAGGCCACATTTTCTTCCAGGAAGATCTCAGTGTCCTTCCTAGAAAGACATTGGCCCAGGATGTCTCAATTGACCCCACCCAGAAGGGATGTTGTAATGTTCCTTCCAGAATTCTTTAAGGATTAGATCTATATGTGAGAATATCAAGAAATACCTCAGAGGCATTTCTTTGATGTATAGCTTCTTAAACTTAGCTGTAACCGTCTGGTCCATAGGCTACAGTAGAGGTGTTATTTTAGGTAGGAGGAACTCAAATGAGAAGCATGAATATTCTTTAGCCAATTCTTCCAAATCCCATGAGTGATCAGAAGCATTGTCCATGATGAAAAAATTGTTCAGTGGTAACCATTTATGCTGTAGGTATTCCTTAACATTAGAACAAAAGCCTCCCTGATCCACTCAAGGAAAAGTACTCTTGTTACCCAGGCTTCTACTTTAGATCTCCACATGACTTCTGTCCTGTTCTTCATGATTATATGTTTTCGGAACACTCAAGAGATCTCACAATTATAAATCAAGAGAGGCTTTATCTTCAGGGCACCACTCTCATTGGCACATAGAAATAAGGTTAGCCTCTCCTTCAGACGCTTGCCACCTGGCATTTTCTTACAGAAAACACCAATTTCTTTTTCTTTTTTCATCCTTCCTTTTTTTTTTTTTTTTTTTTTTTTTTTGCCAATTTCTTCACAGTTGAAAACTTGATGAGTGCAAAAAACATTTCTCTTGGACATGGTTTCAACATGGTGTGTGTGATTTTCAGCAGCCCCTGTATCAGCATAGGCTGCTTCACCATCCCTGATTACACTATGGACCCCAGTTCTCGCTTTCAAATTGTGAAGCACCCTTACTGGCTTGAAATGTTTCATTGTTATCACTTGCTGATGAATTATCCTTTATGAAATCTTCACTTATGTGTAGTCCTAGCTTTTTCACAGATTATACACTCAGGCTATAAGCTGCCATGTCCCTTTTGTTTACTCACACTGATAATGGTCTTTCTACCTCATGTAACACTGTTGACTGTGACTTTCTAATATGAGTAACACCTTTAGTGACACTAGCTTCCTTAAACAGATATTTTCTCTATGAAATTGTTGAGAAGATGAGTTTGGACATGTTGTACATAGCTAGATAGATCAGACATAAAAACGCCACTCTCATATTTTTCCATAATTTCCTTCTTTTCAGTTGTAATTGTTTTCTTTGCCTTCCCTTCCTTACTGGGCTTCTTTGGCACCTTGGGGGGCAATGTTGATAGCACTAATCTTAGCAATTATAAAAACACTTACCCAAATCATGTCCACAAACTTGAACATCATGACTTACACTGACATATATACTTTTCTGTAATCATGACTCTTTCTTTATAACCACACAGTGGGCACCATTTGGTTCATAACTCAAAATTTTGGTCATAAATTAAACTAAAATTCTCATCATATCCAAGTTCATATGTGAAGCTGGTTATAACTCAAGGGTCCAGGGTTAGTAAACAACCAGTGATAATACTTAATGCATATAGTGAAAATGTGAGGCCCACTTCCGGGAACCCCCAGACCCAGTCCTAGCCCAGGTCCGGTGAGTGTGTGGAGAGCTTCCTGCTACCCTGCAGC